GTTTCCACCTTTGTCATTGCTCCACTCATCCCCAGAAATTTACGTTATAAGGATTTTTTAAATTCATTCTTTGATTTCGTGCCTGGATGATAAATAATTTATTTATTTAAAATAAATGCGTACTTATGTATACATATGGATTTTCGCAGATTGTCCATAATATGGATTTATTGAGCTAATTTATAATTCTGTAATTTTTATCACTAATCTTAATAGAGTGGAGAAACTAAAATTAAGTAATTCAATTACACGCTTTAAGCACAGACCTTAATCTTATAAAGTTCCGCCTTTAATAACTATGTACGTCTCACATTTTGAAGATTACATATCGCCATGGTACATTATGTAGTACATAAATACAATCTCTTTTTGACAACATGATAGAAAACTTTTGCATATATTTCGTATAATAATATGTAATAATAATATATCGAATAATGCTAATACATCGAATACTTGAATTGAAAATTCCAATCCACCCAATATCGTTCAAAGCAGTTTTTTTCATAAAACAATCACCTGCAAGAAACCACGGCAAGAAACTGTTTTCAACTAGGTAAAATTTCTTGCACTCGCGCAACTTGGCACCATCTAGCTTATAATGCCTATAATTAGATAGATAGATAGATTGGTTTTATTTCAAGATTGATTTAGCCATGGCTTTTACAATCGACACAATCTCACTCATACAAACATTTCATACAAATATACAGCTCATCACAGATATATAAATCAATCAATCTAGTAAACTATGTATTCAGTTGTGGGCATTATCCACAAGTAGCACACGGCATCCCAATACAGGCTAAACACATACCATGCCTAATAACTTGAAATTATACAAAAATGATAAAATGTATATTATAATAAGGGTGTAGGGGGAAAACCGAACTATGATGGTGAGTTCGGAAAACCTCTACATGTACTGGGAAGGTAACCCAGTACACCATTCGGCCCTATCACCCAGGTAGGAAAATGAATGGCAGAGATCATAGGCGAATTCCATGGGGTGGTGGTGATATCCAAATGGGGATGGTGATGGCATGCGGAAGCAGAAAGTTGAAGGTTGTTGGGCGGGGGTGTTCACGGACCACGGGATTTAGACCCATGTCCCCCATGGAAGTCAGCTTAGGCTGACCGGGGCCGAGAGACACTCCCACTTGCCCCCTCTCCTATCCCAACACAACCAGGTCATGGGACCCCCGTAGACCAAGTTCTGCCGTCAACCGCAATGCACAACCCCTCCCCATCCTTCCCCCAACCACTCCCCAATGGTCATCACCCCGATGTACCAAACAAATGACCTACCTGGGGGAGCTTCTCCAAGGCGTAGATCCTCCTGTGCACGGGTCCGTTGAATCTAACTTCGCCTGATGGCTCAGCTTGTCGTTGCTGGGACGGGTGTGGCAGGGGGCGTCGTCAAGGTCCCAGATGGGGGGTGTGAGTGGACGAGGCTCACATGGCGAAGAACCCTTGTGACGCACTTTACTTGCCCTTGGCACACCCGCGACCCAGATGGCAGAGAATACCGATGCAGGAGCGAGAGCGAGATACGTGTGCACAGGAAGAAGCCAAGGAGAAGCACTATAATGCCTATAATTAAGTATAGTACCAAGCGTTAGATGGCGCCAATTCCCTTTCATTTCTTAGAATTTATAGCAGTGCAGTGCAAAAAATATGGACACATTGCACGAAATCAAACACTGCTTTAGAAGATAGTAAAGAATATCCAATACATAAATTGATTTTTCTGGATATCCATTTCTCCTCCGATATGTTACTAACAAGTAAAACATGTAAGCAATATTAACCATTCCCTTCATCAACCTTGTCATCTATGTATGTATCTCATTTGGGGATCAACATAAACTCTATCACTAAAATTATCATCCCAACAAATTCTAATGCCACACTAATGGTAAATGCATACCTCAAGGCAACCAGGGACACTGGCATACATTCATGAAACTCTGGCTGAAATTGGAGCCCGGTATTTAATTGGGCGTAATACCTTTTATACATTTTTTCACCGTGTCTTCTCATCCTTGATAGCCGACTTGCAGTTAATGAGAGACGTTCCCAAACTACAGGCAACCCTGAATCCATTAACCTCTGGTATGTCAAGTAAAACCACGGATATATAAAATTTCGGTCTCCAGTCATCATAAGGATTGTTTGAAACCCGGTGTCATCCCCGCTATCGATGACGAACCGTTTACCCAATAATTTTACCGGCTCTGTGAACAATTTTAATTCATCCGCAACCGAAAGTAGGGCGAACGTTGACCTAGTTTCGAATTTGTCTAAGAGGTTTACCGATTCTGAAATGTTGGCAACAATGTCCTCCACCTTGTTGTCACCATAATTGGCCAAGAAGAGTCTTTTCTCCAACGAATCTAGAGACTTTTGATATTGTGAAGATTTGGGTATTGCCTTCCTAATTTTTTTAATAATGAAAAGTTGGAGTGTCGCGTGCTGACGGACAACTTGTGTCGAGGTATTTACGAAAACCCATTCTGACATGTATGTTGTTGTCAGGACGGGAATGTGTGATTCCAGTAGTTCGTTCATGGTTTTTGGTACGTTAGGAAATTCGGGTACCGTTAAGTATGAGAAGATCGAGCCCTGGTATAAGTTTTCCATTAGTATATAACAGCCAAATAGCCACGTGGAACAGGTTATGACAGCCGTAAGCTGGTTGCCAAATATCTGACGAATATCACCACTTCCACTTTGCCCCAAAAGAGGAACAAAAACCTCGAAAATTTGATCCTGTACAAAATTTCGAAGCCCAAACTGATGCTCAAAACCAGAAAATATTGAAACTGAAATAGGAACAAGGCACGAAATCATTGCTATCGAAACGAGTAAAAGGAACCACGTAATCCCGTCGAATGGTAGGAGGAAAGTTGTAAAGCTGTTCGCCATCGAAGGAAATTCGGTAACTATGGAGAATTTGAATTTCTCAAAAGTGAAACCATATAATCCAGCGTTATCATTCCTTGAGGACAAGCCATTAAGCGTATGGTAAAAATAAGCAACGTAAAAATGTAGTACTGCCGTTTTGTCGATAATCTCAGTCTCGTCGAATATAGTATAATTAAATTTGTCCCGGAGAATGTAAACCATACAAAGTTGGCCTCCCGCGTATCGCTCAAAATATTTTATGTTTGCCCGACAACTTCCTTCTTTATCGAAGTGAAATGTACTTGGGGTGAATGCAAGTCTTCCGTGAAGATTCAAATTTTGAAAATTCCAAGCTACGTCGATATGATGGCGAGTCAGTTTTTGAGTAGATTCTAGTTCGCTGTGTGTCTCTGAGTAGCATGAGATACACGGTATGACAAGAGTATCCGGGTGAGTCTGGCTAAATAAGACTAGCTTCGAAGGTGACTTTGCTGTGTAATAGTGCTCGATAGGTTTCCTGCTGTATGGATTCATTATATGGGCGAAAATGTAATCCGTATCGCTAATCCGGCGTAATATTTCTATCAGGAGAAATTTATCAGGAATGAGTTTTACTGTTTCCACGAAATCAACTAAGACAACAAGTGTGCGAAATTTATAAATTTTTGGGATGCTGTGGTGATACAGTAGAGCAATTTTATGTTTGCGTCGTGTCCATTTTTCCACCACGGGGATGAGGACTTGTGGTGTGTAATTATGGGTACGTGACATGACTTCGTGCAATACAGAGGATATGGACATACTAGTTGGGTGAGTCCCATCGATTATGTAGTAGACGTCGCAATCGTGAAATAAGTCGGTTTGTCGAAAACTGCAGGTTATTTGATGGTAAAATAAGATGGAGATTAGTATAATTCGGTAGGATTTATGCATTCTGTAATTGTAACAAAACTGTTGGAATCATTAAGAAATCCGAAATATATTAAGTGTACAAAGTAAAACCTGTATATGTTTGTTTGTAACTAGAACTTTCTACGATATGAAAACCTTTTTTGGTTAAGTTTGACGTTAATGAGTGGCAAAGGATGAAATAAAAAGAAATAATTGGTTCGAGCAAGTTCTTTTTACTTCCGACAACAAATGTATTCTTTTTCGGCGTATTTCTTGATAATTCGATTTCAACAATCCTTTGTCGTTGACTGAATAATACGATTCCAAATTGCGGCAAACATTTAATGAAAATTATAATTTTCTACTTCCTGAGATTTCTGGGCCAACTTTATAAAAGTACATATGTAGTTGTATCTTTTAGAAACCCGTGTTAGTCATAGATAAAACTAATAAGCCCGTGTGGCAACAATTTGCTTTAAACTTGTTATCGATAGATGAAGAAAAAAGTTTTTCCGGTAAACTTAGTTTAATTTGGTAATCACAACAAATGAAAAATTCAGGCTTCTAAAGAACCAGAAAAGATAAGATAACAAGTATACTGTATATTCTGTAATTTTATTGTCGTTCAAGATAATTCAAAACATAACATCCGGCCTGTTAGGAACTTTCCCAATTTTGGAGCCAACGCAATTAAATTGATGCACATGTCTATCACCGAACAGAAGTTTGGACACGGGAAGATTAAGCGCTATTATCCTACGGATCCGCTAAGGCCTGTTATTACAATTAATCCCAGGATATTCAGTAGGGCTATCAATCGGTCGATTTTGTTTATTTTTGTTTATTTTGTTTTGATAATTTTTCTGATTCGATACTTACACAAAAAAATTATTTCGAATACTTGACACACTCTTAATAAAATCATTACCAGATTATAACCAGACCGTACAAGTATATGACTTAACCGGACTGGTAAAGAATTATAACTACATAGTAATAAGCAATATTACCATAGGCAGTAATAATTTATTACGACCCCGTAACAAACCTATACCAGAATGGTAAAGCCAATCGGTACCATCATGGTATTAAATCTTTACTAGGTGGTTACGAATCGTTACCACAACAGTAATAACTGGTACTACTATATTTTCATTGTCGTTCTTACCACATAGTAACAAATAAAATTCAAATGGTAGAAGTGGTGGTAAAAATTAATATAAATTTATTTTTCATTTAAAATAGCATTATAATATTTATGTATATTTAATTTATATCTTTAATTTTACTAATTGTTGCAGCTGCACGGTCGAAAACAGGCCGTTGTATTGCTGTCGGCGACTTAATCAGTTAATTATGCGACAAAGGATTTAAAATCTGAAAGAAAAAATTTGCCAAATTAATATTATGCTAGGTATTTGTATACAAAAAACCGTTTTAAATCGAACACAAATAATGCAATCATGAAATTATTTATTCATATATTTACTTAGGAATATAAAATTACCTGAAATTATTTTCCTCCTAATGGTGATTTGACGATGACCCGATGGATGGCTATGTTGAGTGGGGGGGGGGGCAGGATAAACTATTTAGAAAATTATAATGATTTAATTAATTTAATTGATTAATAAAAATAAAATAATAAATATTTGAAAAGCGACGGCTGAATTTGAAAACAAATTATGAACGTTTTTTGTTGCCTAAACGACAAAAGTGAAAACATTGGGGGACTGGAAGCACTTACTTATCGACTTCAGTCACTTGATCGTTCTCAAAGGACTGGATCTTCTGAAAGTCACTGGATCTACGTCAGGGAGCAGATTAAACTTTGTCAGCGCTAAAACCAATATAAAATTATTGGATTATCATGTAGAAAGTTCAAACAAATTATTAAGATAATAATTACCAATAAATTATTCAAGACTTACCTCTAGAAATAAATTCCTCAAAATTGCAAGCTTCTATCCTCTCAATAAGCTGGAAACTTGCACAAGTTTATTCTTGTTGGACGTATTGCTAGGCAACAGACTCGCTTACATGTGACTGAAAGGTTTTTCTACCCAATTGTACCACTCAACTCTTCCGACCGGTAAAAACTATTTACCGCCCAGTAATACGTCTTATTTCGAAGTGGTTACGAAGAACGATTCATTACCAAATTGTAATAAATTATAACCTGATAGTTAAAGATATTTACCAAGCAGTACAAATGAACGTAACCAGTGTGTGGACATGCATATGTACCTCCCAGTAATAAACCTAGTAATATTCGTTGTTACCAAAGCGGAGCAGTCCCTTTTTACCAAAAGCTTGGTACAGATCGTTATTAGGATTTTATTACCAGTTTGCTAAGAGTGCTTGTAATTCAACTATATGAGTATCTAATTTAAGTTTCAGTATAATTTGATTGTAACGGACTACATATTTCTTTAAGATTTACTAAAAAAAATCACCCTAAACAAAAAACAATTGTTTTGTTTTGTTTATGCCTATTTTTTTCTTTGAAAATTTAAAAACTATTTAATCCGTTACAATTAAATTATACTGAAAGTTAAATTAGATACTCATATAGTTGAATTACATGTCAAGCAGGTATTCGAAATAATTTTTTTGTGTAAGTATCGAATCAGAAAAATTATCAAAACAAAATAAACAAAAATAAACAAAATCGACCGATTGCCAGCCCTAGTATTCCGCTCCGGGTTTTACTGGATTTGACTGGGGGATTACTACTGGTTTTGCATCTAATTAATTGAAATAAACAATTTTCTAAAATTTATTGAACCCTAATTAAATTCTTATGCTTAAAAACCCCCTATTTTGGCTCTTTCAGTAAATGTATGGACGAAGAACTAACATTAAAGTTACAATTAATAGAAAAATAAATACTTTGACCAATATTTATTAATCAACTAAATTTATGTGATTTACTCAATTTATAATTTAGGCATAAATGTTTTATTGCATTCAATGCTGAGGAATCTATGCCCAACGTCTTATTTTCATACATATTTATGTAGATTTACAATACTTTGATGCGATATAATAAAAATTCATATATCATTAAGTGCAATAAATATCCATGAATTTTACGCTACCAAAATAATACAAACCGTACTCTGAATCCATGGATAAATTAACATTTTCAATGAAACTGACTCGTTCAGAGGTGGATTTTATCTTGACTAATATGTAGTAAAAATTCTGTGAGGTTGAAGTAGGTAACCTGATTTCGATCAATTCCAGCAAAACAAAATTATTACCAATCAATTTGGAAGTTGCTAACAGCTTATCCTAACCTAACCTAAAAACGGGTATGCTTAACACCCCAGCCACATAAATACATACCGCATATACAAATATGTCTTGTCATAACGTTCTCTATTTTGAGAGGTTTTCTGTTCTTGGATTTACTAAATGAGAACGACTGCTTACACCTGTCCCCATAACTTTTACAGGATTAACGCCATATTACTCCTGCCACATCGATTAATAACGCAGAACAAAAAATTATCTCAAAACTCAGAGCAAAGTACAACACTCCTGGACGATGTTATTACGGAGGAGGAAGAAAAGCGGAGATGAGCCTACCCGTCTGCCTAACAAAAGTTATCATTGACCCGACCCCTAAAGTGCCATAGGCTGCCAGCAAACCGATGTCAAAGTTCACAAATCATATATCACACAAATCATATATATTCTGAAAGCACTCGGGACCTTAAAAATGATACCCCACTTAATGACCTATGACACGTGACCCTTTGACCTTCAGACCCCAAATGTATAGGGGGTCAAATTTTTGGTAATCTCAGAAAGGTATTATATTAATTCAAAAATATAAGCAATTGAGATAATTTTGCACCCAATATGAAGGAAACCCGACAAGGATTGGTAAAATGCCAGATTATTGAAAAATAAAAACGAAATAAATATATGGAACTTTGACCTCTATTTGCTGGCAGTCTATAGCACTTTGGGGGTCGGGTCAATGATAACTTTTGTTATTAACATCAACAGGTACAACATATAAAAAAATTGGGAAATTCGACGGTTAACCACTTTTCCATAAGGCCAACCGCCTCCTCCTTAGGCAATTTATACTTGTGCATATTCAACCAAAAATAATAGAAAGTTCAGTCGTAATTTTGCAGCAGCAGGTGCAACGTCCAGTGTTTTAAGATTTACCATCTCGGTTGATTTTTACCATCACAGTGGTAAAAAGTGGTAAAATGGTAAAAAGTGTTATAAACTGGTATCAAGTGGTATAAACTCACGATTGGTTGAATTTCACGTGCGAAAGTCAAATTAAATAACATGTAAGTATTTGGTAGATAAAGTCACAGGATAGAATTGCATCGAATTAAAACATAGAGGTATTTAATTGGACATGACAAGTGTATTTGGTGCGAATTTTTATAAACCGGTTGAGGTCAGTTCAACGCAAACCTATGTACATACATCGTCTGTACAACGTGATTGAATTTTAAAGACCAATTTTTATTATTTACAAATATCAGTAAACTGCGTACAGTTATGCATGTAAGTATTTGTAATTTGGACTTCAAGGAATCCATAGGAAATTTACGGAAAATTTGGGTTAATATTTCTATTTGTGATATTCTTCGTAAATGTTAATAAATATATTTGCAATGATTATTTTTCAATGAAATATTAATAAACTTGTCTAATACATGACAAATTTGTCTCACAATTTCCCAAATGGGTTTTTACCACTTTTTACCACTTTGTACCATTTTACCAGTTTTTTGCTCGGTGGTAAATACCGGTATTTACCAGTGGTATGTACCACTTGGTAAATACCACTTTAAACACTGGCAACGTCATAACGAATAAATAATCTTATCTCTCTGTTACACACTCCTAAATACAGACATACATGCATCTTAGATATCATTGAAAATCACGTACTTATGTACATTTTCATATACTCATCCCTACTAAATAGTGACGATTTATCTGCAAATATACAAATATTTAAGAGATATTTAACCAAGTGGGGTACAATTTTATGGCGAATTTAATATATTATGATTTATTGGCAATTCATGCCTAATTTTTTACCCAAAAACGCCTCATATTTATTCAACACTTTCATACAATGATACAAACAAGTAAGTAAATACATACGTCAATTATGCATGTTATTCATTCATACAGAACTAAGAAATATATATAATGAATATCAAGTGTGAAAACCATTTAATACGGAATGCAAACAGTAACTATGCAGTATTTACTACTATTTATTCATATTGGTCAATATGTAAATACTTACACAATAACTAATGCGGAGCTATGGAACGGCGTGGTTATGCGGATACATACATATCAACATAAATAATAATGCTCTTCAAAACGTTAGAAATATTTACACATGTATTAATATCATCTGATATGAGTCATCTCGTGAAAAAGCTTTACAAACTTCGCAATTACTGCCCCAAATTACACTGGGCTTTCTATTACAAAACCTTATGTACACACATATGTACATGACTTATGTATCTAAATTACTTAATGAACCACTTCTTAACCAGTGGAATTTTTAGACAAGAGTAAACAAAATCAAATCTTCTATTTATTCGACGATATTACTAAAATCTATCAAAAAAACACCAAACAACGATTAAATTTCAGTCGGTATTTATACTCATAAATAATTTACGAGTTGAAAAAATACATAAACATATTTACGGTGAAGCTACGCCGCTTATACATACACATATTTATTTGCCTGTACTTTGAGCATCCTCTCTTCTCGGTAAAACGAACGTATTTATTTAATTCCCCACTGCGTTTTAAACAATATGCTCAAACTTCATATTATTTATCAGCATTGATAAGCCACGTATGAATTTAATTATCTATATTAATTGCCTCTCGCCAAAACAATAGAGATTACGTACATACGTATTTAACCATAATAATTACTTTTTCAACCCCCGCGGACCCCGGATAGCACCGTGAGGACGTCATTTTCATAACACTAAACGTATCACTAATCCCGTTGTTCTCTCGAAATGGCTACACCAACATTTGCAAAGTATTAAATATGTCCTCCATATTCCAAGGTTTATGATTTACTGATCTAATTTAAATACAAACTTTTTACCTAACCAAGCTTTTAAACTGATACATATTTAAATACATATTTGCACTCACGAGTCATTCAGTAACGTCGTCATTAACATTTTATAACGTCCCTAAGCGGCGACGGAACTAATTTGGGGGAGATATTGCAGCTTAGCTTATTATTGCAGAATTCATTCAACATGAAAGACAAAAGTTTGGACATATGTGGCATTACAAAACCGTGTGGCCATCGTCCCCCCCACGGTGCCCCCGCTTCCACCGCCACTGACGAACGTGCATACTAATAAACGACCTCGATATATTACTTGCCACACTCTACTTGAACTTGGTGATAGGGCGTTGGTAAAATTAATAATCCACGTTTCTTTTCCCTTTAAATCTGAAGTTTTAAATTATTATGTCCACCACGATTTCCTTAACACGAAACGCGAGAAAAACCCCTTATTCACTTCTTTCCTTAAGAAGTGGGAGACAAGTAAATCGGACGAGGGCAGAAGGCAAGGTGGTGGCCATCAATCAAAAATCGATCCCCTTTTCAAGTTCCATAATTTTTAATGAGATCCGACGGGAAAAATCGTCCCAACAAGTTGACGACTTCGAGGCCATGTTCCAAAATATCGAATCCGGATATCACGTCGGACACGTTATGCTTTTCCTCGAAAGGTTAAACGGTCAGGTAAGTTCTTCCAAATTAAATCTACTTATCTTCGTGTTTAACCTTTTGTTATGGGTGCAAAATGAGACTAAATTATAACAATAAGTTGGTATTTAGAAGCAAAATTTTTTAGTAAATTGTGTATATCACGACTTCTTAAATTCCAGTCCCTCTCTTTCTTCAAGTCCTCTGTGGACAAGATCACTTCTCTGGGTTGCAGCAAGATTTACCTTTTCCACTCGGATGTCTCCGGAAGTGAGGAAGATGTTCATAAAATAGTCGACGACAAACGGAATAAAGACCTCTCTCACCATTTTGAAATCGTCTTTTGCAATTATCCACAACATGCAAAGTATGTAACCTAACTCCATACTCAAAGTTATCACAGTAAAAATTCTGAAAACTTGAAATCCAGATACTAAATAAATTCTTTTATTTTCCAGGATTGTCGTCGTCTTAACGCAAAATTAACTATTATTCCTCAATTAAAGAAATGTATGTACATATTGTAAAAACGCGTCAAGTTTGCAGCTCTGACGTCACTGTGCTCGTATCCTTACCATGTGAGCCAACACCGTAGGATAGGAGCACAGTGACGTCAGAGCTGCAAACTTGACGCGTTTTTACAATACATCAATCCATCCATATTTATATGCACATTTAAATATTTTTTAATAAGCTGTTTGCTCAAGAGGTGTCATATTTAGTTACCTACGTACTTATGTAAACATCACAAGTTTATAATTACTGATTAATACCAAGTCAATTTAATGATTAGATTGAAACAAAGAGAAAAATCGTATACATAAAATCACTTTTATCTTATCATGACTAATTCTCCAGGTCCTTGAATGCATTGGTGAAATGATCAAATTATGGCTGTAAAGTAATCAATTTTGTAGCGAGATACATAAAGATAGCATAAAAACCTTACCATAATCCCACTATTGATAGATCTACTTGCCGTTCTAAAAAAATTAATACAGCTTGGCCACCATTACCGACCATCCAATCATTCATTACCTGCCGGTCACCCGTGATGGAGGAACAAACCGATATCAATAAAGTCTTTTTTAGACATATTCACCAAAACAAGGAATTTTCTACGTTTCTCGATTTATTTACAGAGGAGGTCGGACAGGGCGCGAGGGTTGTGCTTATTTGTGATCCATATATGGATGAGCTAATTCAGGTAAATTACCAGCTCCAACTCATGCTACCTAAAATTTACAAAAACCTTGAAAATACCTACTCCTCGTACAGCGGGAGTTGCTCCGATGGTTTTTGAATTGGATTGGATCGCATTCACCGAGAAAGGTTTACTTCATTACAAAATCTTCTGGCAACATTGCCGGTGACCAAACTAGGAACCAATTGTACAGGGAAATTTTTGATCGAGCCCTTTCCAATCGGAATATATTTTTCGAAAGCGTCGCCCATCCAGGAACACATGACCGCAACATCACGTAATGATATGCATATACACTCTCAATAATTTTTTGATGATATTGTTACCGGCGGAGGTACTATGCAACTCTACCGCTCAGGTAATAATTTATCACCGAAGGGTAACATATATACAGAGGCTAAATCCTGCACTGCCCCCAATGTCAGCGCTCGGGTAATAAAAATATTACCGATACCGGAGGCAATTTCTTACCCACAGAAGACAATTTGTTACTATGTTGTTACCACGCGGTAGAATTGCATAGTGTCTCCGACGGTAACAATATTGTCAAAAAATTATTGAGAGTGTATGTTTCTAAATAGATTAACTGGCAGCACTTGCCAATCCAGTTTAGCATAATTTATTTAGTTTCACTTAGGAAAAATGGGATGGATAAGGACTCGTATTATGCTGTCGTTCTCTAATTTTCGTGCTCAAACTTTTCCCTTTCGTAGTAACGTTTCGAACACCTTGTTTCTTGAAGGAACAAATTTATACAAGAATTTCAAGACGTCGGCAGTAACAAGGCCGAAAAATCGAGAACGATCACCTAAAGTGAGCCCTTATCCTTTCCTTCCTCCTTCTTGTAACTCGTTTACGAAATTTGTATTTCTTGCTACTCAAGAAATCCTACTACAATTGAATTTCATACTAATTAATCTTTAGTGTCTTGGGGGAACGGTCAGTGACAAGATACAATCTTGGAAGGGGGCTTCACATGCTGACCTATCGACCAACTGACTACAACAGGAATCGAGAATTAGCACGTCATGACTTTTCCCACTTGAGAAGTTTACAATGTGGCATTCAAAAATTTGAGTATGAATTTAAAACAGAGCTAGAAGCTACAGAAAAATTTCGGAGATTCCTTGCACAAGAAAGTCCCGCCTTGAGTTCGAATTTCACCCTGTAAAGGACGAGTTATGCTAATTTCACCCAATTTCGGAATAATTGAACGTATACAGATTACTGCACTGATAAAGCTTCGCATAGTCGCAGCCTTACACATTTTTATCTGTTAATTTAATAAATTTAATGTGAATTTTATCCTGCATTTAAATTCGAGTTCGTTTTCTTTTGTGTGCAAATACCAATAAATAGTAAAGTATGTGGGTGAATAATAATAACTATCTACATATTCTCATTTGCTAATGGCATCAAACTATATGCATTATTAGGCTAAATTACTGCATTAGTACTATACAAATATAATTTTTGGTGGTTGACCTTCTGACATCCGACCCCTAGGAAACCTTTATACCTCGCTATTAGACCAAGCAGATTTTGTTATTATACCCCATGAAAATTGCGTGAATTAAATACTTTTAAATGTAACTTCGGATTTCTACATAGTTAAGAAATCCTTATACAGGCAAAATGAAAGAAAAAAAAGCTACCTTAGTTGCCCTTAGTTGCCTATGTAAGTTTCCCAAAATGATTCCCAAAATTAGGAAAGGTAAAACGCATGAAAACATTTTGTTGTAAAACGTTCCTTCAAGTAAGGTTTTTTTAATACATAAATACCAGTCGGCTCATCTTGGATAATAAACGAACCCAAAATGTTGGTCTGAAAATCTGGGGTTATCTATTCCAATATTAATGTAAGTTGCGACATAGTTTTGTTTAATATACACTTTATACATACGTAGCATACATTAATGTAGAATAAAATAATGAAACAAGATAAAACTATTAAATATTCAAACTTTTGAAAAATTGCAAGACGGATTTAAGTCCAGATTTAGGACCTAGTCAATCCACAACAAACCCTCATGCTGGATTTGTAAACCTCTGTCCTCATGGTCACATTTTGCTTGAAAATCATTGATTCTTACCATTTTACTGAACTGCTGATTTTCTAGTCCCAAAATGTATCTGTAATATAATAAGGGTATTCGCATCGTTAGCAAAGTTAGCAGCAAAATAAAGTTCGCAAGTTGGCAAAAAAATTTTGGCTTGAAATTTGATTTGCGAGCCTGCTCAGCTAAAGTACTTAGTTCGCAAAAAAATCAAAAAAATTTTTGCGATGCGAACATGCGAACTCGTAATGAATACCCTCAATATTACTTTAATATAGTCAAGAAATTAGACAAATCCTAGTATCCGGTAGAAATTTTCTATCCCGGCGCAAAAGCATTGCAATGGAAACTATGACAAAATCTACCACGACATTATCCGAACCAAATTTTCAAAATTTTCAGCATAGTATTCTCATAGCACTCAAACTCCATGTAAACAAATTCTGTATCATTTAGTAACCCTTACTTATTACCTATGTATCACAACTCATCGGTTTTATGCTAAATATCAAGCATTGGAACTTGTTTATCCAACATAGCTCATCTACATAAATATGAGCATCATGAACTAATTATATATGTATACGTCCAACAATTTCTACTTTTCTAACAGGTTAGCACCATTGAGCACCAGGTATCATATAAATATTTTCAGGTTGCCAGTATTTACAAGATTTGCATAAACAAAAACTTTGAAGTCGTTCGAAAAATTCTACGCAACAAATACATTCAACTTATCCTTAGGCCCTCACTTGACTAACGTTTTGGCAACTTCCTCCGCTGGAGAGGTAAGAAGCAGAGTGAAAATAGTCTGCAATGAATGTATACGAGAGCAGGATATCAATCCTCTTCGCAACACGGACGCTTCCATAGCGTACCCCAAATGGTTTCAGTGATCGAACTTCTTTCCTTCGAACCTTACTTCCGCAGTCCAAACCAGCACAACTTATCCTTGAAAGGGATGCTTTAAGTCGCTTCGAGTCTTCAAACACACCCGCCGCCGGCTTCAGGAGGATGGCAATAAGCCACATCCCATTGTGAAATAGTCCAAGAAATGGCAGGTATTGGAAAATAGTCAACATGGTGCGAAACCGAATGGATGCGAATCCATTGATTGCAGCCATTGTGTTTGGAATCCAACAAAGGAGGATGACCGAGAGAAGAAAATATGTAAAAGAATCGTTCACATTCCGCATCAGTATGTCGAGACGACGAAAATTCTGAATCTTTTTTGATATTTGTAATTTTTGAGATCTACAGTATCAGAATATCATTATAATTAAAAAAGATATAGAAATATCTAGTAAAGAACCATATTTCAGCATACCCTGCATTAAATTGCAACCAAAAATTCGTACCGAGCGTCCCCATCAACGCATTAAATCAAACCGAACCCATGACGCATGACATCGATAAGTTTGAGTATATTTCGAAAATTATAGACCCCACGAAAGTAGGGCCAAATTTCTGCTCAGGCACCAGTCCTGAATACACGTATAGGACCATTTCAGGTACCACGGCGAACATCAGCAAATTGTGCAATCATAAATATGGTTAGAAGATAGTGGAGTTCGATAATGTTCATTGTGAAAATTATCGAGGACATTTTAGCTGTTGCATTAATTTCATTTGACATTTTGCAAAACATTTTAATCGTTCCGTTGAACGCGGTTACGGTTTCGTATCTTCTTACCCAGGCTGAATAATTTGACCATTTGGCTATCTGCCAAATGTAACTGTTGATCCAATTGATAAGCCACAATATTTCGATGATAGCAACCTCCTTATAATTCAAAAGGACCCTCCTATATCATATAGGCCAGGGCTTGTACACAACTTACTGCGTATGCAATCAGATTAGTTATAGAAACATCCGTCTTGACGTAGAGGGCCCTTTTCGTAGAATTCCATGAGTAGGGAATACAACCAAAAATGTCATTGATGAAGGCTGAGTAGGCTCCAATAATTCTTAGAGTTCGTATTGTGATCATATTCAGATTATTTATATATTGTCTACGAGACTGGATGCTTACTCTCGGAAGAGTAATTATTCAATGACGACTCCAAAATGAGTGCAATGCGCTGTAGATTTGGGTCACTGATAACCTTGTTTTGTTTAAACAGTAGACCTAATTGTATAGCTTGTTTCCGTTTGTATTTAAGCCTTCGAATTATCAATTGATCAGAAAAGTAAATTATGTACTTTGGACTATGTACTAGTACTAGTTTAATTGCTAAATATACGTAGGCACTGTGGATAAAATATTGGTAACTATTACACATGGTGGCGTACATATGGAGTTCGGTTTAGTTACATGTGTTTTGCGTACATATGTTAGTTAATAAATATCAAATATGTATGTTTCTTACTACAGTAAATAACATATTATTAACTTTAATGAGGGCTGATAGGTCTCTATTTAAATCGTAAGGAGGAAAAACAAATTCAGAAAACCTGATTTTGGTCTACTTAAATGTTGGACATATCTGCGTTTGCAGATTTAATTACGCAGTTGCAAACTTGTTTATTTAGAAAATGTCTTTTATTACGTGTGTACATATGGTTGCCCTGTATATTCAAATATGCTTTTAATGTACAATTATTGGTAATTTAATTTCAACAAACAATTAGCCCAGGAATAAATTGAAAAGTAGTACATATTTCGGTACCATTGGACCGAACACTGATTAACATAAAAGATAAGATGTGCGCAAACTTTTTATTTGACTAAAAAGCAAACATTTTACTTAGGTTTTTCACTATTATATATGCAAATTGCTTAAAGTTTCCCCGTTCTATCAAACTATTTAGTAATTGCCAAATAAATATTCCGCTTCAAACTCTATTTAAAATTTTAGTCTCATGAGATTATCTATCGAATAAAACTAATTTGGCCGCACAAATAGTAATTGGTGATGCACAAATGGGCATATTGTCATTTTGTTTATTCATCTTCAAGGTGAAGTGTGCAACAATACCGAAAATTGATCAAAAACAAATCATTTGTTAAATATGCATACATAAGCTCATACATAACGACCACCTTTAAATTGAGTTATCCATCTGACTGTGCTCTGTATATTTGATACAGTCGCTAATTACTGCAACGCTAAACCGAATGCTTAAATAAGCTACATATGTATGTGTTTGCATAGTTGTAAATAAATAGATTAGAAATGCAAGAATTATTTTTCAACTCGTTCGTTTTGAGATAGATATAATAATTTGTATTTAGTTCGGATTCATGCATGGACGGTATGTTTGTTATTTTTATCTGGAGAATTCCACAATAATCAACACATACCTTTAACTCGAGTGCATAATCAGAAATTATCGAGTGCAAAACCCAACGAAAAGGCCAACCAATTCTAAACCGTGTATGGTATCAAAAGCACGGATTAGGCACATGATATTAAGGCAATCAATAAAATGATACTTGTCACACCTTGTGAAAAATATTTTGCACTCACTTTCTCCTTTTTATCTGTTCAAGCGAATATATTTCTCCGTATAAAAGGACGAGTTGTAACCATACTTCCACAATTTGAGAGCAGTTTGAGATGACTTTGCGACAAATTTCTAGCCTTGCCTTTTTGGTGGCGAGCGTAACTTGCCACATGCGTCTGCATGATCCGGCCGGTCGCGCGAGTTTGTACTGGTACCCAGAATTTGGATACCTCAATCCAGAACTATGGGTATTGGATGACGCACTTTGGTGTGCTAACGTCCCTCAATTTGAAAATGACACGCGCTGTGGGGTTTGCGGGGATCCAGTGAACGACCCTATCCCAAGACATAACGAATACCGAGGCCGATATTGGAGAGATGTCCGTGTCCGCACTTACTCTTCTGGAGCGGCAAGTATATATATAAATTATTAATCAAAGTGTGGACTATTTTAATAACACCAATAATATCCAGACAGTCCCAGTGACCATCGATTTTACCGCACCCCATGGCGGGAGATGGGAAGTTCAGTTGTGTGACCGCGTCCCAGAAACTGAGGACTGCTTCCAATCCCTTCTTCTAGACAATGGACAAACCTATTGGGACTTTCCTTTAGGAATAGAATATCCTCAAGGCTTCCTCACCATGGTGAAACTTCCAGATGGCGTAACTTGTGATAATTGTGTCATGCGAGTACATTGGCGCTGTGTCCAGAACTGGGGGACTTGTGATGACTCGGCGACTTGTGAATGCATCCCGGATTCTGGAAACCCTCCAGGAGGGATGGGTTGCGGTGCACAACAAACTTTCAGAGCATGTGCTGACATCAAAATTCAGTAATTTATTTTTTTCTTCCTAAAAGATTCCTCAAATTGTATTCCTTAAATACATTAATTTGGATAATAACACAAATAGCTTCCATTTGAAAACCTGTAAATAAATTATGTATATAAGCATCAACTCACATATTTAATCCTGCCTACATTACGTCAACACTTGATACAATGAGTAAACAAATCTTAAACTATCTCAAGCACAACTCAAAGTTCAACCAGAAAAAAATTAAAAAATTGGAATATTCATATGTTCACCTTTGATTTTAATTTGACTGCGCTCCTTCAGGGAAATTGTTAACTTTGAAAGATTGTTTACATAAATAATTAGAAACAGGGTTGAATTAGATCAACCTCAATTAATTATTAATCTCTATTAACTATTAATCTAACTTTATGATTAATGAGCTCAATTCCAGTTTACATAAATGAATTTATTTTTGTAGAGCCCCTATCTTTCTTTTGCGTTGCTCGAGTTTCTGAAAAATGAGGTTGCAAATGTCCATATTGATCTCTTCGGCATCTTCATCCTCCAATTTTTGGAATTATGAAATTTTTGAGAAATTTTGAGAAATTTTGGAAATTATGAGAAATTTTTGGAATTATGAAAATTTTGAGAAATTTTGGAAATCTTGAGAGATTTTGGAAATTCTAGAAATTTTGAAAATTTTGAATTTCAAATATTTTGAAGGTTTGAGAAATTTTAAGATTTGATTGTGAGTAATTTTAGAAATTACGAGAATTTTAAGAAATATTAAAAATCCGGTAGAAATTTCATAACTTTAGAAAATTAATACTCCAAAAAAATTGAAAAATCATCAATTGCCAGCTATGAAGCCGTGATATTTGTGTCCGAATCAATAATTACATATGTAAGATACGTTAGTCCTATGCTAAAACAATGCAAATGTTATGCAGTTTTCGTGCGTTCTGAGGTCTGTATCTTTGCGAAACTTGAGTTTGCACCGATAGTCCCATGACAGAGTTTGATCTACATTAAATTATCTTTAATTTGATACCTATATGAGGCAAATCGGTGTGTGACATGTAACTATGTTCCCTCCTAAGACTATCTCCTTGAAAATTTTTGATGTTGCAGTATTTTGATTTTTGCAACATGAATTAACCTGGTTCGAAATTACATTTTTGATTTCCTCATTTCAATTTTGCGGCTAAAAATGCTGTAACACTTATATGTAACTCAAAGTCTACCCATTTCCGTGTTGATCCAACATCTTGAATAGCCTGCTCGAATATAATCTGCCCAGCGACCGCAATCCTGAACTCGATTGCATGGAAGGGATTTCACGAAATCGTTTCACCATCGCTCCCACATTATCAGATCTCAATCCATTTGCAATTTGATGGGTTAGGTCAGGAATCATCTACGTTGATTTATGCAATTTAGTCAATTATTTATTAATGATTTTGAATACTGAGATAAATTCAATTACACATTTCTCTTCAATTAATATAGCAATCAGAGAGTAAAAATAAATAAAATAACGTATCAATTTAGTTTTAAAAGTTCGCTCTACAGCCTTAATAATCTGGTAGTGTCACGGGGGTAATTATGTCACGGTGTTAATTTTGCTATAGATTTGTAAAACATTCTCACCAATTCGTAAAAATCCGCGATCGATATGGTGAGACTTTGTTACCAGGTTATTATCAATCCGACAGAGTCACACAAAGATACCGGCTGGTAATAATTTCTTACCAAATTATTTGTAACTAAATTGTAACCAAGCCACAGATTCGGTTAGTTTAAAATTTCTCTGCCCGGCATAAATTATGTAAAATTCAAACAGCATTTTTGGTCCATTACTAATAAATGATTGTGAACATAACTACCTCAGAATTTTTCAGTGTTTCGGATGCAACTAACTACCTGCAAGAATTAACCGCGAGAAAGTGGTTTCTTGCACCAATTTTTACCCGCAAGAAACGCAAGAAACGCAAAAAAGTGCAAGAAACTACTTAGTTCATAAGGGGGGTCGCTAGATGGCGCTGAGTTTCTTGCACTTTTTCCGGTTTTTTGCACCTGCAAGAAATGCGGCAAACCCGCAAGAAACGAAACACTGGAATTTTTGTCCTTGTTATAATGAATGCGCTACCAATGGTAGCCATGGTGTATGTACAATGAATGCAATGAATGGGGAAAGACACAGTAATAAAGATATAAGTCAAATAAAATCATAATATGTGCATTCATATCAATCCAATCCACTCATCTCCATCCACACCTTGCAACTAAATATTTACTTGCACACATTTTGATTTTATAATATCAGCAAATTTGTCCAGCTTGGTTCCCCACACGGTCAGCTAGTGAGCAAATTAGTTAACAAAAAAAGTTAGCTCTAGGGTATGTATGTACTTATGTAGCTGAAAAAAAGCAAAGTTCTCTGTTCACAGTGAGTTTTTTGTGATTTTTAAATCGTGCATCTTAGAGTAGGAATGCGAGGTTACATTTGTAATGAAGATAAGCCAAGTGCACGCCTGTGTGTGTGTACAGTAATAAAATTACAACCTTAGTTACTGCCGAGCAAGCGTTTTATATGTCGTGTTTTTCATGGTGCGCAATAAGTTACTACTCGCGTTATACACTGGCTATAGCCTAGTTATAAATATATTTAGATAAGTAGCTATTCATTGTCAGGTAATTATTCACATAAAATCTTGGCCGATCATATGGGCAGAATTAAATGGTATTACTCCAGTCAAATCGGCCATGATATTTGTTAAAATTATTAAATGTCAGCGTTATCTGAAAAAAATAGAAAAACCAAATATGTTTAAAACATCAAAAAAGCATATCTTTAAAGCATTAAAGTACCGAATCCTTCGCGTTAGGAAAATTTCTTAGCATTCGCGGCTGAAGGCAGGATCGTGCCAAGTCGTCCCTATTTGAATCATACATAAGCACAAAATCAGGGTTTTTTATCGACTCCACAATGCTATCTTCGGAGGGAAGAAATATCAAAGGGGATGTAATATCTTGATATGTGGTAATGTACAAATTTTCCAATGCAAGGAAACACACTATGAAATCCATCGGTCCAAGATCCAGACCTGAAACTAGTTTCAGTTTCAAGTTCTTGAAACATTTGGCTCGTAAACACCGCTAAGGATTTGAGGGTCGGAAACACTGGCAATTTTAAATATTACTTTTTACTTTACTTTTTATCTTTTTTCCTATTCAACCAATCTCATTTCATGTATGAACTTGAATTACCTACCGAGTTCTTAATATATCCGCCAATAATAGGCTAAGGAATTTCATCTTCATGGTGAACCACCATCTAACAACAAGTAATGTTGTAATGTTGCCATATATTTTTATAAATTTTAATTTCCACCACCAAAATTTCAACAGATGCTATCGCTATGAATGCTATGAATATACAAAGGATGGCTTGAATATTCCCATTCAGTGAAACTCTCTTAACCACTCCATCTGTTGGCCTGTCATCAATGTGAGGGTGCGCCTTTTTCGTAATATTTGCCCTCCGCCGCGTCACCATGTGCGGCCAGTCTTCTAGAAGCTGAATAATTCCGGCGACATAGAGTTTTCGAAATATCTGAGGTGTCACGGGTATCCCGGATATTATGAATTCCCACCCTGACTCTTATGCCAAGATTGGCGACTTTGATTTAAAAAATTAAATCCACGGGTAGTGTTTCTTAAAGTATATGAGTCCCTTGTTGATTTCTCTGTCGTCTAGGACCAACGCAGTTAGCCCACATTGTACGAGAGCATGCTCAGTATCACACTCGTTTTCGATTATCATCGTATCTGTCAAATTCCCCAGATATGTCCATTAAACTCGAAGAGATCATTTTATCCCATAATTTTAACTTTGTTAGAATTAAATCCATCGTCGTCTGTATATAACTTCCTAATTAGTCTTGTGCCAAAATTATTCCGATATTGATATTGTTCATTAAATAAGTTTTCTTCAAACGAATACGGCAGCAAGACGAAGTCATGGTTTGCATCAAATCTCCGTATGGACCGATTTCGAAGGGCTTCTCTAGTAAGACTTACAGCGTGGAGCGATGGTGGGTATGAACTTACGAATGTACTCCATGATTTAAGCAAATAGTCTCGTAAGGTGTTTATGTAGTCCTCGAATCCTTTAATTCGGCCAAGGTGACATTCCATCTTGCCCCAGCCACATCCTGGTTTAGCCAGCTGGTTGAAACTTGTCACAGATTTTGACTCTAACGGTGACGAAATTGATATAATGCTTAGGCTCAAGTAGCTACTTGACAATACTGGAACGAGCAGCACCCACAACCCAAATAAGAACTTGAATGCCAAAATTACTCCTATTTTCCGATTTAATATCAGCCGACTTATCAAGAACAATTAATATTACGCCCAACTGTGAGAACAATATCGCTTCTAGACACTCCCAGTTCAGCTGGCTTATTAAAATAACTACGAAAACGATTCCAACAACGACCATGGTCAAGAGTAAAACTATCCAAACCTCTAGCTTGAACGGGTTTAAGAAAATTTTAAAGGACAAATGTTCCCTCGAATGGCACGTCATGAATGAAAAACCTTGCTTCACAGTGGTAAAATAGAGGACAAGCCCAATTAGTTCGGCTTCCCTGTACATAGTTATGTGTTCATTGTATGCAAGCTTCCACCAGTCAATTTTTAAAGGAATGGCAGTTAACTACCCGTACAAAATTTTCCTTAGTTAACGTTCCGAGGTTCAGATCAGTGTGGATGAACTTTAAATTATTAAAATTGCTTAGTAAATCTTCGTTTGGAATTTTACTATTGGCGAAACCTTTTGCAATTTCTACAACATTATTAACTAAAGAATTTGCTGATGCTAAAATTTCTTCTCATTTTACCAAAGATATTGACCCTGACATTTGAAGTGATTTGATGAAAGCTAATTTATAATCTTCGTTAATTTATGCCAGTAAACTAGGCCCAATCTCCGTAACTTCTTCAACTTCCATCTCATTATTATTCTCACTATT